TTGCCTGATCTCACAGTCACTGATTGGTAAGAAAATAGCAGAGTTGGGATTCAAACCTAGATACACTTGCATCCAAATAACTTGTTATTTTCACTTACTGCATTGGTTTTAATTATTTAAAACTCTACAAAGATGAACAAGGACAAATTCAGACTTACGGATAAAAATCAAATCAACTTTAGACAGTAAACTTTAAAAAAAATAAATCAAGCAGGTATACTTACTCTGGTTAAAAAACAAACAAACAAACAAAAAAACAGCCTCGTGTTTTTGTTTTTTTTTAAAAAAAAAGGCCAATCCTTTCAGATTTTAAACTCTCCTAAGCTAGTTTCAAAATGCCAAATTGGCTGGTTATGAGTTACCCAGTTTCCGGACTGGTGGGCATGGCGCACCGGAGCACCTGAACATGTCCGCCAGACACTTCCACCCTCAGCCCCACGTGCAGCGCAGCAAGAAGTGGCAAGTCCTACTGTCCTGCAGTGGCTGGTAGGCTCACCCAGGGTGCACCGTATGATTACTACCCCTTTTCACGTGTGCCATGCCTTGGAAAACAGTGGGAGGCACTGGGCTAAGGGCGCCGTGCAGAAAATAATACATGTCAGTTTTAAGTATGAGAATTGATCTCTGTTCTAACATCACCATCCCACTGTAACGATTTTAACCCTCAAGTCAGTGATTTTTAATGTATTTTGTATTCGACTTGAAAGGCACTCTCTGGTATTATTAAGACATGCACAGTATCAGGGACAGAGACTTTGAGGTAGTGTGCTGTAAGGAGGCAGTAGTGATAAATTGTTGGCCCCGGCCTGCATTCTGGCATGGGCACTTTGAGCTGTGCAGATAGGAAAATCAATACAAAAACAATTTGCATTCAGTATGTTACAGTTCTTGAACAACCAAATGCCTTAGAGATTATGAGTAGTGTAGTAACGTATACGAAAATAGAAACCGACTTGCTATACAATACTGAGTACAGTTTTTAGATGAAGAAGAAAGAGAATGAAATTTTTTACCTCTGGGTATAATAATTGCAGTGAGATTCAGACACTATTTTAATATATTCAAATAGTGTCTGAATATCACTGCAGCTATTATTAACATCTGAATGATATTCAAGAAAAAAAATCATTGAAATTTTCATTCAGATGCTTAGTGTATTTTTAAGTTTTACATTCATCACTTGTCTGCTCTATTTAGATTTGTTTTGAATATTTCTTTAAATATTTTCACAAAGACTACAAAACACTTAACAATGTTTTATTTATTGAATATAATTCATGAAATCTATTTTTGCTCCTCTTTGAGAAATACTTCTGTTTTTGATACATCTCCATTGAGTGCTTTTGACACTAGAGGATATTTTGATATTTTACAGAACTGATCGTTAAGGTAACAGGTATAGTGTTTGAGGACACTTTGAAGGTCGTCCTTGCCTTTTCACTAAAGTGTAGAGTGGAAGATTCACAGAGAGCAGATCAAGAACAAACCATCCTTTTTACCTGTGACCTACTTTGCATAACAGTAAAGCTTCAGCTACCCATTCTCACCACCAGATGGTATTTTTCTATAAACTGGAATGTTAACTTCCTCCTCCTACCAGCTGTTCCTCCCCCACGCTGAGCTGAGCGCTGCGGTGACTAGCAGCAGGCTGGGGGAGGTGGCTAGTGCAGTACTTCAGAGGTGGATTGCAGGGGTCAGGGGGACACACGGCATAAAAGCAAGATACTTTAGAGCGGGTAGGAAAATACAAAACGACAAAGGTGGGGACTGCCCATGTACGGTCTGTAATACTTAAAATATACTTATTTGTATTCTTTTCATTGTAAAACAATACTTGTGTGATAACTTTGATGATAAAATAACTTTGGCAGTTCTACCTTGTTTTGAATGAGTTTTCTTAAGTGGGTAAGGATGTTCTGGTGCTAAACGTAACATAAAGGAGACCATTGATATGCTGACAACTTTAGCAATCTTTTTTAAAGTGCTGCGGGCGCAAAGATGACAAGTTATGCCAAACAAAAATAAACCCATCCATCTGATTCAGATTGCTAACTTGGAATTTCAGTTCAGTTTGTAACAACTATTAATGACCTCTGTTTACAATAAAGATTCTGTCAGCTGTTGGCTGTTAATTTTTTAATGGTTAAAATATTATCAGGCTTCCATATGATCGTACACACATGATGGGTTTAATTACAGCTTGAGAGTGGAGCACTATCAGTATCTGTGTAATCTCTGATCCTCGAGCTCAGAGTAGAAGCTGTGCAGCTTGGATAGTCTACCCGCCTCTGCGCATTCCCTCAGTGTCCCAGGGCCATGTGCTGTGCTGTGGCAAGGGGCCAGGCCTTGTGACGAAAGGGTGAAGGTTTGCCACGGGGCAGGCTCCATGGGCAGATGGGTGGAGCCTCAGAGGCTCAGGTCTAAAATTCCCACCTGGCTTGATCCAGGTAGAGACCCATCTGGAAACTACCTGAAGATCAGAAGGTATGGCCCAGAAACAGTGCTGCTGTTGTGTGTTTTTAACCTCTCTTCCTTCTGTATAAGAATGAACTCTTTCCTTTCTACTTTTTTTTTTTTTTACTGCCCTCCCTTATCTCTCTCGATCTCTGACACCCATACACACCCAGTAGTTCTGCTTCCTCATACTTTAGCTTGAATATGTCCATTTAATGATTTATATTTTGCCAAGTTGTTTACCATTTCTTCAGAAAATTTTTCTAGAGTTCTCAGGGGTTCTTTACCTAATATGTATAAGCTTACTAGTATATGTAGTACATATCATTTTTCTTTACATATCAATAACTTTCACTTTAGGACATAAGATTACCATTACCTAGCTGTTTTGAACTCCAATCTATTAGTCAATGTATAGACCTCTTTAACTTAGAAAGAACCAGATCCATGAAAATCTTTTTATCTCCCCTTAAGTATTTTTTAACCAAATGTTTCTGTTCAATATTGGAAAGTAGCATTCCTGTGAATTACTATATTTTTTATTGCTGATATTGCATTAGTTTGCTATACAGTTGTACATATAACGATTGCAGCTTTCGTTGTAGAAACAAATACCTTTCCAACTAGAAATTAATTCAATGTCTGGTATTGCACAAGAGCCACATAAAAATAACTCACCTCTCCATGCTGCAGGGCACCTTTGCCTCTCAATTTAGATGCCCTTCAAAACGTGGAGAATTGACCTTATGTGAAACAAAGTTTAAAAGTTGCCTGGTACATTTCATTCGCTGCATGCATTCATCCGAACAGAGAGCATAGCCCCACAACAGACTGCAGACTATTAAAAATGTAAAACATGAGGGAGCCATTTACATATGCAGCAAACCCCATGGAAAACATGGCCCTTAAGGAACTGACTGCCTTCCAGGGAGTTTAAAACAGACCCAAAACAAAGAAATAGGAATGCAGGATAATATTGATATTCTGTCAAACGGAATGTTACTAATGCATCCATTCATAAGTATTTACTGAAAGGTTTCTGAAAAGAGAAAATAGGCTAAAGCTGGGAAAGGGGTCTTCAGGCCATACGTAGGATTTGGAGTGAGGAGAGGAAAAGGCGTGGAGCTTGGATTTAGGAATGTACGAAAGCTCATTTGCAGCATGAGATGTCCATATATAGTGCTGAGCACAGCCACGTCTTGTAACGGCTCCATGTGTATCTGAGTGGTCCGTAGGTTAGCTAGCCCTGCAAGCCAACTGAGGGACTAAGGAGCTCCTTGAAGCGTTTCAATGAGGGAATGATATGAGGAAAACAGTGTTACGGGGCAATACCCCATTGAATGGGCCAAGAAGAAGGAAAATCAAGAGGCTGAGGCAGGAGAAATAGTTAAGCCATTCTAGTATTTCAGACCAGTAATGAACTAAATGGTGCCATTAGAGCAGAAAGGGACAATTTGTGCAAGCCTACATACTGAATAATGTAGTGATTCATGGAATTTAGTATCATTAAATAAGAAATTATCCATTTACTTTTTTAAATATTCGTGTATATATTTAGCCATTGAGATATGTAAATATTTGTTTTAAAACTTTTCATTGCTTCTCAGAAATCTTAGGTGAAAAAGATCCTTGATGTTTATATCTTAACTAGGGGCCCAGTGCACGAATTCGTGTACCTAAAAAGAAACTGTGGGCTGCAAGCCTGCGGTAGGCACAGGCAGGTCTCAGCTTATCCTCCGTGCCCTCTCCCAGGCCCTCCCACCACAGCTCCCCATCCCCTTTCTGCTGGCAGCCCCGCTCCTGCTGATGCTGCTCCCATGTGCTGATAGTGCCAGCCCTGCTTGCACACACTGATGTGCCCCGATTGCCCCTCAGGGGCACTCAGAGGTGGCAGCTGCTACTCACACACTCTGCCTGCGCCAAGCAATTGGGGCTGGTGCCAGGCACCGGCAGTGGGTGCAAGCAGGGCCAGCACCAGCAGCAGGTGCAAGTGCCCAGCAGGACCACAGCAGATGGGAGCGAAGAATATTTAGCAACCACCAGAGGCTCACCCCAATGATAGCAACTGGCACCCCACCTTGGTCTAGCATCTCTGCTCACCTGCTCCACCATCCCGCCACAGCCAATGCCTGCCATATTCCACACTCTTCCACCTGCTGACACCCGCCATGTTTAGTGCATGTCCCTTGGTGGTCAGGGCACATCATAGCGACTGGTTGGTTGGTTGTTCGGTTGTTCTGCCATTCGATCTATTTGCATATCAGGGTTTTATGTATAGATACATCTTCATGGTTCAGAGGCAGAGCACCCTTTTTTATAACCATAAATTTATGTTGAATTTTTATAACCATAAATTTATGTTGAAATTTATGTTTATAACCATTTATTTATGTTGAATATATCTAAATGATTTCAAAAGGATTTGAAGTCAGACAAATCTCTGAGTTGAACCTTCCACCCAAATAGATCCACAGTTCAGTGTAACTGGATGGCCTGCCACTCACACAGGAAGTCACATGGCTGATTATGTAGATACTAGTGTTGTAGATACTAGACTTTGCTCTGTTCAAATGACCAGCAAGGAAGCAGAGAAGCCTTTGATCTTGGTAGGTTTCCCTCATTCCAAAGCAGACTGCAGCGTGAATGGTCCTGGAAAAGCAGGCACAGAGGTGAGGTCCAAGTAAATACGTATTTTTCTGAAAAATTGGGGGAGTTCTTTTAGTAGAATGTGACATAAATGTAGTTTTAAACTATAATTGTACCATTTTTTGGTAGCTACACTTTAATGCTGTTATTTCTAAGAAATTTCTAAGAAATCAAACATTCACTTAAATTGGCCATCAAGGCAAGATAATTCACCTCGAGCTTGAAAAGTAAATTTTCTGCTTATTTTGCTGTTAGTTTTTACGTGTTATAATGAATACGTCAATTCATTTTCCTTTCTCCAGGCATTATGAAAAACCTTTGTTTCAGAGCCATTGCCATGGTTCTGGGTCTTTATTTTACTGGAACAATGACAAACCCAGCAAGGAAAAGCAGTATTTTTTTCAATTCTGAGTGCCAGTGGAATGGATACCGTCTGACAAATTGTTCCTTTACTGGAAAGCAGGATATGCCTGTGGACATATCACAGACAGCAGCCACAGTGAATGCAAGTTCCATTTTATTTAAGGGTCTCTTCCAACCTCCCACAAACGAAGGAAAACGGAACATAAAACACTTGGACCTCAGTAACAACCTCATGTTGGAAATAACCTTAAGCCCCCTCGCACATTTCCCTGGTTTGGAAACCTTAAACCTCAGCAACAATGCCATCCGCTCCATCTCCCTGGATCTACCCAGGCCTGGGTGCTCCTGGGGGAAACGCCACAGAAGCAGCTTGGGAAGTGGGCTCCCACACCTAAAACTGCTAGTTCTTCGGAGAAATAAACTCAGTGACATTCCCAAGGGTAAGTACAATCTTAGGAGGCGGACTGGACCGAGAAATCATAAGTATGTGGAGAATTCATGGTTTATGCCAATGAGAATTCCATGTTTGCTTTCAGTTTTGAGGAAATGGCTGAAAGTAAAGCAATTTGATCCGAGCAAATATAATAAAAGGAGTTCCTTCGTGGAATAGGAAGTTAAAATATGTGGAAATTATGGTCAATGCTTTTTAATCTTCCATCACTATAATTTATATTAATGTTATGTAGATTTGTTAAGAGACATAGGAAGTATTAAGTGCTAAATAATAATGCATGATTTTAAATTACCTGAGAAATAACTAGCTCAGATACTTTTAATATGTAGCACAATTCGAATTTACTGCCATATTTATAATTTTTTCTTGGAATACCTTTTCGTTCTACTTATCCAGTTGCCCTCCCAGTGTAGACTAGAAAAACACTAATTTTATATATTAAAATGTAAACTGTCTTACTAAGTCAAAATCAAAATTGCTTATCCTGGTTTCTGAAGGGATTCTCTTCATATCCTCCTATGATAATAAATTCTAATCCATTCTGACATAATCTACATGTTGGAGTTCGTCAGCTAATCCATCATTGTTTTATTTAGAAAATGTATCACGTTCATTAGCCAGAGCTGCCTTTGTCCTTTTTATAGTCAGGAATGCTAGCCTGTTTCCTCTCCCTGTTTGTTTCTGGGCATTATTTGCTAAGTCCTTACTTTACATAAGACATTATACGAAAAAAGGAAAGTGTGAGGATGTTGTCATTTTTTTCCATCCCAAATGATGCATATTTGGTTTTTCTCATTTTTCACTTCTTTCATTTATTTATTTTTTGCTCTTTCTCCAAATCTGGCCTGGTTTTTAAGCACCATTTTGACAATAATAGCCTGAAGGGGTGAAGGAATTACTATTCAAGCCATCATATCAGCAGAAGTGTGTGAGAATGGCAGTTTTCTCTCCCTGACCTTTTCCATAAAAGCAGTGTGCAGTATTTTCAGTGTAAAGTGTAAACTAATCTCATCTTATTTTACAGTGTTTATTGTTTTGTACTTATTATAAAAGGAATACCTGTTATTTGTGGGACATTAAGGTTTGAAGAAAAAATTTAAGGGAAAAATTGAAGTCCTTCAAGCAGTGTATAGTATTTAAGTTTATTCTTTAGGTCTATGCACCTAATTTTATTTCAAATTGGAATATACTTTCTATAATATTTCAAAACTTGTATCTCCATATCACCAAATAGTTTGAATATTTTTACCTAATTAAGCAATTAGATATAATGGTATAACATATGTGATAGTGTAATGATATAATATTTTTAACTAGTATGGTAGATGTGAATCTCAACCCACAAATTCAAGTGTACTGGAGATGTAACCTTTTATTGTCTACTAGAGGCCTGGTGCACAAAATTCATGCATGGGGGTAGGGGGAGATGTCCCTCAGCTCAGCCTGCACCTTCCCCAATCTGGAACGCCTCAAGGGATGTCCGACTGCCCACTGATGGGCAGTTGCATATCCCTCTCACAATCCAGGATGGCTGGCTCCCAACTGCTTGCCTACCTGCCCTCCTTATTCCCCTAACCAGAGGTGTCGAACTCAATCAGAGAAGGGGCCAAAATCTAAAATCCAGCCTAAATCGCGGGCCGAATGGTTTACTGAACAGTCATAAACTGTCATTGTGATGGAAATGCAGCGGAGTGCAGTGATGACAGCGCGGTGCGGGCCACATTGCAAGGCCTGGCGGGACGGATTTGGCCCGCAGGCCTTGTGTTTGACACATGTGCCCTAACCACTTCTGACTGCCAGGCTGGTCACTCCCTAACCACTCCCCTGCCAGCCTGATTGATGCCTAACTGCTACCCTGCTGGCCCGATTGCCCCTAACTGCCCTCCCCTGCTGGCCTGGTCACCCTTAACTGCCCTCTCCTGCCAGCCTGGTCGCTCCCAACAGTCCTCCCCTATTGGTCCAGTCACCCCTAACTTCCCTACACTGCTGACCCAGTCACCCCTGATTGCCCTCCCCTGGCCTGGTTGCCCCCAACTGCCCTCCCCTCTAAGCCTGGTTGCCCCCAACTGCCCTCCATTGTAGGCCTGATCGCCCACAATTGCCCTCCTCTCCTGGCCATCTTGTGGTGCCCATCTTGTGTCCACATAGGGCAGCCATCTTGTGTGTTGGAGTGATGGTCAATTTGCATATTACCCTTTTATTATATAGGATAATTCAGCATAGTTTCTGATTCTGAGCCCGAATTCTATTGTACTAAGATAGGTTGTGGGTGGGGGTACATGGTACTTGTACTTAACCTCAGTCTTTTGTGAGATTTCCTCTGCCTTTTCCCAGACTTGTATCACAGCTCTAGAATCTTATACCCTGACAAGACATCAAAGTGTGTGTGTATGTGTGTGTGTGTGTGTGTGTGTGTGTGTGTGTGTGTCCATCTGTCCCTTAACCCCATTAACCAAAGAACATTTCTTTTCAGTCTTTTCACTTTGGAAAAAATTCTTCCCCCTCTTTGTTTCTTCAAATCCTTCTGTCTAGTTCTAGAAATTTCTTTCCTTTAAAACTTTAGGCCAGTGGAAAACAAAAGCCAGAAAGATTGTGGACTCCTCTGCTTTGTGCCTCACAATGTGCCTCCCCTGGGGCAATTAACACAGACAGACAGCTTTCTGATTGAATGGAGGAGAGAAAGGAAAAGGGGAAAACAGAGAGAGGTAAAAAAATAATGTGTCAAATATTATCCCCCCACGAGAGGAGATAGAGAAATGCCGAATGTGTCTCCTGAAGGCAGATGAGTTTCCGGAGCTCCTCGGAGGTGAGGGCAAACACAATCCCATTTAAGGACCCAATAACTCTGTAAAATGCAGATGCAGCCCATCTCCCTTCTCGGAGTTAATCTTGGCCTCCCAAAGGAGAAAAAGAAGGGAAATGACAAATCCTGTGTCTTATATTAGAATTGTGGCAAATGAAACCATAGAGAGATGAATGAAACAGATGGGCAATAGAAGTCTAGTGTAAGCCCAAAATCTAATTGGATATAATTCAGAGTTTTTTTACCCATAGCATTTTGTGATATGAATTATTTTTCCAAAATCCACATGCATTTTCAGTTTTTATTAGATGGAGTTCGCTCTGACATCCCTTCCCATTTTATGATTCTGTGGCTATAGCTAGATGAATCTGGCTTTAAAATCCCACTTTGGAGGGAGAAGCTGGTAAGAGAGGTGCTGCCTGCCCTGCTATTTTTGACATTTCCTTTGTGCTTTTTCGATTCCTTTATTCTAAGCCTTTTTAAAGGTAATATCTGGATAATGTGGAATTTACTCATAGAATTGCTGTGAGGTGTAAAGAAAAAAATGTCTTTCAAGAACCTAATTTAACATAGTACTTGGCAAATACTATGTTATTAAATGATGTTATTAAAATATGTGAAAAGTACATTGCAACCTTGTAAAGCAGTATGCAAATATTAGTTATTATTACTCTCTTGGCACAAAATGAGAATAACAGTCTATTCAGAAACAAATAATAAATCTGTTTTTGTCAGAATCTCAAGTTATCTTTAAGAATGCTAAATAGCCTTGGCTAGTGTTTCTCAGTGGTTAGAGCCTCAGCCCTCACACCAAAGGGTCTCAGGTTCAATTCCTGGTCATGGGCCATCCCCTGCCTCCCATCAGGGAATATGCAGGAGGTAGCCAATCAATGTGTCTCTCTCACATGGATGTTTCTCTCTCTGTCTCTTTCTCCTATTTCTCTCTCTACCCCTCTCTCCCTCCCTTCTCTAAAAACCAATGGAAAAATATCCTCGGTGAGGATTAACAACAACAACAAAAAGTTTAGTAACTATTGCAGTAGATGGGACTCCTAGTCCACTGTAATTCATAAGCCAAAAATCATTGGTGTCTAACAATTTATATAGGTGTTTGGTCTTATCTGAAATAATAACTTAGAGATACGTATCTTGGAAAGCATGGATCAAGAACTGGCCTTTCAGCACACGTATCTCTACAACTCATGTCCCGGGGGTCTTAAAGCAGTGAGTTTATAAATTCAACAAAGAGTTGCTTTCACCCAGGAAACCCCACTTCTGTGAGGGTGAACTCTCACAGTGACTCACCCACTGTCAGCCCCACCTGTCTTCAGAGGCAGCTGTGATGTCATCAAAAAGCTCCATGTTGGGCCGAAACCGGTGTGGCTCAGTGGTAGAGCATTGGTCTACGGACTGAAAGGTCCCAGGTTCGATTCCGGTCAGGGGCATGTACGTTGGTTGCGGGCACATCCCCAGCAGGGTGTGTGCAAGAGGCAGCTGGTCGATGTTTCTCTCTTATCGACGTTTCTAGCTCTCTATCTCTCTCTCTTCCTCTCTGTAAAAAATCAATAATATATATATTTTTTTTTTAAAAAGCTTCATGATGGGACAATACCCAGAGGAGGTGCCAGGCAGTGTATTTACAAGACAGAAGCCAGCCATGAATTCAGCCTTCATGGCCATTCTACCTTTCTCCCACATTCTTGGAGTACAGTGTTAATCATGGAAAATCAGTTTTAAAATTTTAAAGCAAGCCGACAGGTCTCCAGTGACACTATCCCACCTTCATCAAGCAGTGTTTCTGGAATGCCCACAGAGCGCCGAGAAATCTCTCAGAACCAACGTGTTCCTGGGATTCCAATTAGGTTGACAGTCCAGATGTGATGGCCTGACATCATTTAACAACTAAGTTTCAGAACCCAAGAGATAAATGTGTTAGAAATTAGATGAAATAATACCTGACTTTGAAACTGGAAGAATTAAAAAAAAAAAAAAAAAAAAAAAAAAAAAGTACAACCACAAAATCATGTATTGTAAAAATGAAAGTATATTGTATTCTTTTCACTTGTAGGAAATTAAGCATTTCATCTTGATTGCTATGATTATGGGAATACCAATAACCAACGATTTCAAAAAGTTCAGGTTGGCTTTAGCTGATTTGGCTCAGGGTCTAGAGCGCCAGCCTACAGACTGAAGGGTCCCGTGTTCAATTCTGGCCAAGGGCACATGCCCAAGTTGCAGGCTCAATCCCCAGTAGGGGGCATGTAGGAGGCAGCCAATCAATGATTCTCTGTTATCATTGACATTTCTATCTTTCTCTCCCTCTCTCTCTGAATCAATATATATATATATATATATATATATATTTAAGTTCAGGTTGCAAAGAAGTAACAAAATGTATGTCATTAAGCTAAGAGGGCAAGGTCTTTGGCTCACCTCTATAAATTTGACTACATTAAGGGCTGGCTTTATCAATAACTCTCTTATCTAGAACCATTCCAGACTCTATTCTAATTCTTAGTACTCTTTGAACCTGAAGCCATGACCCTGAACATTATTGTTCCGTGTTATTAAGTATCATTCTTGGGAGAACATTCAGGAAGTTCATATCCAAAGGGATATTTTTCAGGTGGTGTAATGTCTGGACCTACCTTCTGTGGCCTTTTTTCCAATAAACACTGAGATAATTTCTTAGAAGTAATAAAACTGCCTCTGGCCTCTTAAATGCAAAGGCTAATCAAATTCCTGCCTTCCCCAGCTTATCAGATCATCAGAAAGCAGTTCAAAAAAAAAATAAAGTGCCTCCCTATTTTCTTCCCAGTATTTGACTCTCCTCTCATGAAATATAGAATCTACTCCTCTGACATCCAAGCTCAGTCAATGCACTTCCTAACCTCTTTTAGTCACTTGAACACACCTCCCCCTCAACATCGATTCACCATGTAAAATTTTTAAAAGAACATATTTTCCCCCCTTGAGAGTGTCAGCCAAGTATCTGGGAAGAGTTCTCAAATTCCCCAAGTCTATTTTGAGAGACTCTAAATGAAAAAGGTCATTATCTTTGGTTCGGCAGGCTAATCAGGACATGTTATTTTCATAACTGTTCTTTGGCAAAATCCAAGGGAGCAATCCCCATCCCATTTCAAATCTTGGCTCACATCATGTCTGCTAACATCTCATTGCCCAAAGCAAGTCACATGACCAACCGCACCTCAATGGGGTGAAGAAGTAAAGTGAATGCTTGCTGAACAATGATCTAAAGTTACATCTGGCTTCCACTGAGCTCAGAATACTTGACCATAGTAATCAAAGCTAGATTCAATTTTACCTGCAAGAACAATTTTTAAGGGACGAAACTGAGGCATGGAGACCTTAAGTGGTACTTTCTGATTCACATCAAAAGTTATAAACAGAGCTGGATAAACCGAACATCTTAAGTGCCCTATTCGCTATATGATACAAGTAGAATCACTAAACAATCCCGATACATTTGGTATTTTATGTATACCGTGGCCCATGCCATTCTCTTTCATAGACAGCTCAGCCCTACTCCCCGCCTTCTTTTTCCTTTTGTAAACTCAAGTTATCTTTCCGGACATTGACCGTGTGTGTGTGTGTGTGTGTGTGTGTGTGTGTGTGTGTGTATCTGTTTTGTGTGTGTGTGTATGTGTGTGTGTGTGTGTGTGTGTGTGTATGACTAAATGGTAATGAATAGTTGAAAGATCTGAATTTCAATCCCAGCTCCACCCACCATGACGTGGTGCAAGTTCTTAACTTGCTGCACCTAAGTTTTACAATTTGTAAAATGGTAATAACCCCAAGGGCTTTGTGAGGATTAAAAGGGGGTGTTTGTGAAATGCTCAGAGCACAGAAAGAGTACACAATTAAACAGAGGCTTAAAAAATAAGTTTTTTCCTTCCACTCAAAGCTAGGCATGATCTTCCTTCCACTGATCTCCGGGTATACATATTCAATTCAGTCAAGCTCTGAGAAATTGCAGGAACCATAAGTTCTCACCCCTGCATAGGGCAGGCAGGCATCACAAAAATGTCAAGAAAACTATAGCTCCTTTCATATTGGTGTCTTCTGTTTCACCTTTTCCCCTCACAAACCCATACGTTTGCATGTTAAAATATGTAGGAATATTCTTTGCTCCACAAAGGAACATTTTCTCTGGGGGCAGGAGGGGAAATGTTGAAGTGCCTAGGACAGCAGAGCAGCTCACAGACGCTGGGGCACTCAGTCAGGAACGGCAAATTTACCCACCAATATCTAAGTCTTTCCCCCCAGCATATGCCAGCTGAACATCAGCCCTGGTTCTCTCCCATTTAAAAAAAAAAAAACTTGCAGGTTTCCTGGCCTATCCTTTGTTTTCCTACTTTTGATAGAGACATGAGTAGAAAGAAATCACATTTGTCGGTAAGTGCATGCCCATCTAAGACAGGCGCCCTCATTTAGCTCCAGCCAAACGTCTTGTGCCACTTGAAACTTCCAATAATTCAAGAGAAGCTAGATACGCAACATTTTTGTATTGAATCTTTATTGTCAGCTCATTGATTTTTAAATCTATGTGGAGGCCAAACACTGTGACCTCTAACTTATTGCGTGCATGTTATATTCCAGGCATTGGAGGAGTTCACAAAGACATGCACTCTGACCTGAATCATCTTATGGATAATTGGATGGAGGGGTATGAGTGCTTTGTATAACTAGTAACTTTTTCTAGGTTTTATCATTCAACCAGACACAAGGATTCTATGCTATATTTGTCCTCAGCACCAAAGACAGTAGTCAAAGAATAAATCCTTCTGGAATTGAACCAACTTGATCTGTTATGTGGTAGTTGGTTAAAGACACAGACTACACATGAGAGCAGAACAGAAGGAAATGTAAAAATGCAGGGCTCCCTTGTGGGACTCAGATGGTAAATCAAATCTGGGAGACGCTGTGACTGACACCTCCTTCTCCAGTTTTCTTTTCAGTGCCAAATGCGCCTCCTGGTGACTCTGGCATCAGGTGAAATACAAAGGCAATTAGATTATTTTGCCAGAACACAAAATCTAGATAGAATTTACTTCCTTTAAAACATACAAGAATGCCTAGATAATAGTTATAATATCAACAATAATTAAATAAAAGAAAGGATATAGCTAGCTACAAAACAGAGTCATTAACATTTGAAAACTCTGAGTTCACCCATATAAATAATTCATCAAAACAACTATTCAGTTTTACCCATAGTTCAATCAAATAAATATTTACTTATTCTTCAAAGTTAGATTTTTTAATTGATGCTTTTATCATAAAACTAGAGGCCCATGCACCAGTGATGTCCCTCAGCCAGGCCTGCGGGATGGGGCCGAAACCAGCTCTCTGGCATCCCCCGCGAGGTCCCGGATTTCAAGAGGCAAAGGCCAGGCCAAGGGACCCAACTGGGGCCTGGGGGAGGGGGAGAACACAGGAGGTTGACCACCCAGGGAGGGACCTCTGAAGAGCTTTAGGGTGTGTCCAGCCCATCTCACTCAATACCGATTGGCCAGACCCCAGCAGCAAGCTAACCTCTGGTTGGAGTGTCTGCCCTCTGGTGGTCAGTGCACATCATAGCAAGCAGTTGAGCAGCCTTAGTATATCATTAGCATATTATGCTTTGGTTGGTTAAACAGATGTCTGAATACTTAGTATATTAGGCTTTTGTTATACAGGATTAGCACATGCTCATAGAAAGAAAGAATTCAAAGATGTCTAAAATAAAGTTTCCTTCCTTCTCTAACCCCACCTCTCCTCCTAAGTGTAAGTACTACTAATAGCTTAGGTCACCTCTTCCAGGCCTTTATTTCCTGTCCACTCAAAATATATGTATATGGGTACAAATGGCTCTTTTTTTTTTTTTTTTTTCAAGAAAACTGGAATTATACTTAATACTGTTCAGCAACTTAACATTTTCCTTCTCATGCAGTTTTGTTGCTCTACCCCATTCTCTTTTAAGACTGTTTCCTAGCACTTTTTGTATTGACATACCATGCTTTGTTTAACCACCTCTCTATTGGAAACCACTGGGTTGCTTCTAATCCTTCGCCCTTACAAACAATGCTTCCGTCAATATCACCAGCTTACATTTTCATTTGATTTTTTTCCTACATTTCCATTGATATTTTTAGAAAGAGAGGAAGGGAAAGAGAGAAAGAGAAACGTCCATGTGACATCGGCTGCCTCCTGCATGGCCCCGTACTGGGACCAAGCCCAAAGCCCAGACGGTGCATGTGTCCCGACCAGGAATTGAACCAGCAACCTTTCTGTGCACAGGATGATACCCAACCAACTGAGCCACACTAGCCAGGGCAATATTTTAATTTGCTTTTTAATTTTAATAGGGTTGTGGAAACTGAAGTCATTACAGAGTTTGGATCTATCGTTCAATGGAATATTGAAAATTGGTGTGTTTGATTTTCATAACTGCCTGCAGTTGGAGAACCTCTATTTAAGGAGCAACAAGATATTCAGAATTTATCCGGAAGCCTTCAAGGACCTCAAAAAGTTACAGGTTATAAGATAATTTTTATAATATTTCAAATACATAGACATGTGGGCAATTACATTAGAAGAATATTTTAGGAGTTTCTTCGTGTCCAGTAGTACTGACTATTAATAAAAAAAAATGTAAGTCTATTTTAAGGTTCCTCTAAAATTGCTGAAGTCTCTCTCTTGCCTTAAAAATCAGTGGTCTGAGTAATGAATTTTGCTCAAACATAATACTCAGCAGCAACAAGTGGCACACTATTTTTCTAAATGAAATTAAACCCAACTCCAAGTCTCTGCTTGCCGCTGGCTTCAATCAAGGTGTTGGCCAAGACTGGATTCTCACCTGAAGGCCTAGGTGAAGGTCACGGGGACGGGAAGGGGAAACCTTCATTCAGTTCCTTGTGGGCGTTGACCGAGGGCTCAGTTCCTTGCTGGCTGTCAGCCTGAGCCTGCCCTCCATTCTGTGCCATGTCAGCCTCCCCAAGGGCAGCTCATGGCATGGCAGCTTACACCACAGCCCAAAGGAGAGAGCCTGCTAGTAAGAAGAATATGAGATCAACGAAGGGATGCCCATTGCTTCTTCCATACTCTGATTGATGGTTAGAACCAAGTCACGGGCCCCACCTAGACTCAAGGGGAAGAGATTTCTCAAGGGTATGAATACTAGGAGGCAGAACCATTGGGGACTCTTTCTGAATCTGCTGAATTATAAAGGCAGATGAGAAAGCTCCCTTGACTTGGCAGTGCTCCCCAATTCACCACAAATATGTAGTCAGATTGCCTGGGGACCTCAGTTAGTATATTGTCTGCTGATTATAAGTATATTTGTGTGTGTGTGATTGCCCTGTGTCTGTTTTATTTCCTATGCATTTTTATTGTGCTTTATAAGTCTTCTGCAGCTCACAGGTTATAGATGCTGCAGGCAAACTAAAAAAAAAAAATCCCAAGAATGATTTAAATCATCTGTAATTCTCGATTCACCTGAACTGCCCAGAATTATACAATCTCTTCTTCTCTAATATTCCTTCTACATGCTTGGTAATAACTTAAAAACTGGTTTGGAGCAGGATGAACATATTTCGTACCAGAAAGCTGCATATTAAAGTAGATGGTATGTAGGTTGTTGTGTTGGTTTTTTTGTGTTTTTTTTTTTTTCTTCAGGAGATGCATTTAACATTTACACAGTGCAATATGTCTTCCCATGTCGGAATCTTCTCAGAAGCCAGATAGAGTTTTCATATCATGAATTCATCATCATGTTTAGATAGAATATGTTTTCATTAGCATTTCAAAGTAGCATCCTTTTTCTTACTCTTACTCCATTCTTCTTAAATTCAGTGATTTGTGTAGCAACATATGCTTCTCCCAGGCTTTCAGTAATGTACACTCCTGCCACTGATGGTAGATGGCTGTTTTGTTAGCCACATTGAACTATTCTGTTTTAATATTTTCTCAGAAATTATTTCTCCTGCATCATCTTATTAGTTTTCTGGCCTCTCTCCAGTATTGCTTTCAGGTCAGTGATTTGTCATAACATAGTTGCTAGACTAGGGGAAAAAAAAACAAAAAACAAACTAGACATGCACTAAAAAGAAAATAACTACCTGAGAAACAGTAGAATATTTCACTCAGTTGTTGAGGAGGGTTACAAAAGAAAATTTTTGATCCTTGGCAAGACCAGGCCAAAGAAAAGTTTTGATTTTTCCCCCTTCCCAATCCCAGTCTCCTACTTCCTGTTTTTTGGCAACCTTCCTTGGGGAGTCAAGACTGCTTGGTTACTCAACATGGGAAAGGTCAGCCTCATTGCTCATGCCCAGGAGAACTCTGATTCAGCATGTAGTGGTCTTAGTGATGGTGCCGCTGGATTGGCTGTTTGAATCAGCTCTTAGGATTTATTTAATCCAGGATACCAACGCTGCTTTTCCCGTGATGTTTATAAGACATTTGACCTAGATAGCATCCAGCCTCTCTAGTTTTCAGCCATAGCTCTCTTCTTATTCTTCAGCAAGACTCGCTGTTTTCCCTTCTTCTGATAACCACCTGCCCCTCCCCAGGCCCCAAGATCCCACTCTGGCGCCTCATGCTGCAGGCCTCCTCCACCCAGCCCTTCACTCCAGTTTGATGGGAGCTCAGGCCCCAGGGGGGTGTATTGTGGAATAGAAGGCACACAGGGAAGCCAGATCAGATTTCAACTCTGCCATTTCATTCATTCATTCTTTTCTTCACTATTTAAGGAGCACCTGCTATGTACGAGGGCCTGTATGGAATGGACTGTGTGCCCTAGCCCAGTTTCTTCCTCTAAAAAAAAAAAAAGGGGGGGGGGTGGTTGGAGCGGATGAGGAATTTGTTGGGAGGTTTAGAGATAAAAGATAACATGTAAAGCACCCAGTAAGGTGGCTGGTACACAGCAGTGAAAGTGCTCTGTGAATGGTAGCTAGAACTATACCTAACCATGCTTTCCCTGCTGCATCAGGCCATGGCCACATCCATCTTCATCGAGTCCTTCTCTGAGTTTCTGGTGTCACTGAGTCCTTTTTGTTCCCTGGTTTCCCCTTCATTTCTGATTAGACTAGAAAAATTGTGGTCATCTTGTGCATACTAAGTAGTGTGGATGCAGTGACATGCACTACTACCCTTGAAGCAAAAGATCTCTCTTCACTACTTCTGGTCAGCTGCAGATCTGTGTTGTATGGCCTCATCATTCAGTATCTTCTGCCACTTTCAAGAGAACACCGTACTTCTAGACATTTTAGATCTGGTAACTAATTCTAGACCTTGATAACAATGAGGAGTCCAGGTTTTATCGAACAGTACAAATCACAGCTCATAGGAAAGACAGGAAAATGATTGATCATCTAACGTAGGCACCATATTTAAGGCTTTTGCATGCATCTCATCCTAACAACAATGTTGGCTCACAGAACTGTTGTTGACAGAGCAGAGATTTAATTCCAGGTTCCTCTGACTCTCAAATCGGTGCTAACTTCTTATGGCCTCCATATAGACACAAACAATATCTGGAACTCGTTTATTGTCTCTAAATGTCTTTGTTCACAGACTGCCCCACATTTGCTTCTCCTCGAGCAGGTTGTGGACCTCAGCAGCAATGCCCTGACCACCATCCTGCCCATGATGACCATCGCTCTGGAACTCCCCCACCTGGAGGCTGACTTGGCCCACAACCAATGGCAGTGTGATGACAGTGTGACCGTCTTCCAAAATGTCATTTCTGAATCCTGGAAGAGAAAGTGGGAAGTAATTTGCAACAAGTCTATAGGTATGTCAGTAGTCCCTCTTCTCTCCGAAAGGGTTCCAGCTGAAAAGAAAAGAAAGAAAAGAAAAGAAAAGAAAAGAAAAGAAAAGAAAAGAAAAGAAAAGAAAAGGAAAGAAAAGAAAAGAAAATATATAAAACAAGTGAACAAAAAAACAGGACCAATTTAGTCCTGTTGGAAACAATGACACCAAGTGTGGTGACCCATGGCCTTGGGCAGCCTTGGGCTGTGTCTTAGGGCAGTCATTGGTTTCTGTTTTCCTCAGTCATGAATGACTTTCTTTACATGGGACAAAGAAACCTAGTTTTGCCATCTCAGAAACTGCTGGATTTGGTCAAAAGCAGAAATTTCATAAAGAGAGAATTTTCCCCTGAAGACCCCACAAGTGTCATATTTTTTAAGTCCCAATTCTTAACAAATAATCAAAGAAAGTACATTTAAAACTTGAAACCTGATTACTTTATATGTTTGCCAACATTCTAAAACTATAATCCTACACAGACACCAAACACACATATTTCAAAAGCAGATTTTTTTTTTTTAACTTGATCCCTGCCACTCTCCCAGCATGCTAGAATATGTGATTGGAGTTGAACATTCTGGAAAGTGTTTTCCACTATTGTGGTGGCTTAAACTTCTAACTGGGGAGTAGGGAAGAAAGTCAGATTTTGTTTTTTTAGTGGTCCTGGATTCTGTTCTGTTCAGGACTGACATTAAAATAGGAACATGGGCCGAAACCGATTTGGCTCAGTGGTTAGAGTGTTGGCCTGCCCATTCCAGTCGAGGGTATGTACCTGGGTTGCGCGGCACATCCCCAGTAGGAGGGTGCGCAAGAGGCAGCTGGTCGATGTTTCTCTCTCATCGATGTTTCTAGCTCTCTATCTCTCTCCCTTCCTCTCTGTAAAAACTCAATAACATATATATATTTTTAAAATAAAATAGGAACATGGCCCTGCTTCCCAGGACTAGAAGAAAACCATGAAGGTCAGAGGGAGGCCAGTGCTGTCAGCCACACGTGTCCCGCCCATCTCAAAGCCGCCCTGGCATCTGAGTGTGGAGGGCAGGATGCCAGGAGCCGCTGGAGAGCCCTGGGAGCTTCTGTGCTCGCCAGCACGGGGCTTGCTGAGGAAAGGCTGCTGAGAGCATGGGTGGGGCGGATGGAATGTCCTCAAGGACGTGCAGTAGCTAAGGGTATGGAAGAAGGTGAAGTCATGAGGTTTCCCCTCCAGCCTGGCTTCTTTCCCTCCCACAGGGAGCCCTCAGGCAAGAAGCCTAAGAAACACGCCACTCCAGGCTGGTGAGCAGCCTCCTGAGCCCGCAGCCGCGTGTGCATGCACACAGAGCCTACTACTGGCCTTAGGCATCCCTCAGCCTATCAGGAGAGCTGCTGATCGTCATGCAATCTGCACTTTATTTTTTTAAATATATATTTTATTGATTTTTTTTTTTTTTTTTTTTTTTTTTTTTTTTTTTTACAGAGAGGAAGAGAGAGGGATAGAGAGTTAGAAACATCGGTGAGAGAGAATCATTGATCAGCTGCCTCTGGGGATGTGCCTGCAACCAAGGTACATGCCCCTGACCAGAACCGAACTCGGGACCCTTCAGTCCGCAGGCCAACACTCTATCCATTGAGCCAAACCGGTTTTGGCGCAATCTGCACTTTAAATATAAACCCACGGACTCTAATGTCAGTGTGTTTTACCCCCACTTTCAGGGCCCGAGGAGGCACACTGGTGGACACCCAGAAGCAGGATTCCCAGGGAGGCCCAACTTCCTCACACGAATCTGAGTCACACGAGAAGCCTCATCGGGAGCAAAGCGGAGAGGCCCCAGGAAGGCATGCACGTGGGTTCAGCCACGCAGGGGCAGCAGGACCACGCCGGCTCCGAGGCCCCTGAGCAGCACCGACGGCCGCCCAGGCGGGTGAGGAGCACCCAGGATGGGCAAGCTGCGGGCGGGACGGAAGCCGCATCCCAGCACCTCGCCCTGGCCGTCTGCTTGGCCGTGTTCATCACCTTCTTCGTGGCCTTCTGCCTGGGGGCGTGGACGAGGCCTTACATGGACAGGCTGTGGCAACAGCGGTGCAGAAAGAAAAGACTGAGCTCTGACCTCGGGTATTCCAACGAGGGCTACTGCGATGAGGCCGACTCTGCCGGGGACGGCCAGCACCCCGGGGGGGACCTGCACCAAGCTCCCCGTGGCCTGAGCCTCTGGGAGCCCCGACACCCTTTCTCAGGGACGCGGGCCAGCCCGCAGGCTGCTGTCACTGCCGGCAGTACTCGGGGCCCGAGCAGAGAGGAGCCTGGCGGCCGGCAGGGCAGCGGGCACCGCGGGGCCGAGCCTGGGGCAGGAAGGAAGAGGGACAACGTGCTCCCCAATGGCCGTGCGGCCTGCTCTGCTCCCCGAGGCCGGTCCGATGCTGACAGTCACCCCCTCACAGAACGGGACCGCGCCTGCAGGAGTGGGGTCCGTGGAGAAGTGGATTCTGAGACGGAGGCCCAGGAAGGTGCGCCCCGTGGGCACTCGATGGGCATCCCTGGGATTGCCGGCAGCTTATCAACTGGCTCCGGCTCCATCCATCAGGACTCGAATGCATTAGGCCCCCCACTGTCAAGAGAGATAACGGCCGCTCTCTCTAAAATGCAAATGTGCACAGAAGCGCCGGGGACGGGAGGGCGGGAGGACACACAGGACGAGCTGGACACCGATTCCGATGAAGGCTCGTTATTCACTCTAAGCTCAGGGGGTTCGGAGGGTGTGAGAAACGGGAGTGACGGAGAGGCGGATGGGGAGGAGAGTTCTGGCACCAGTGAGCCTCCGGAGGACGGGGACCCAGAGGGGAGGAAGGACACCGCCTCCCAGAAGGCTCAAGGGGAATGTGAGAACCAGGAGGATCGCTTTGGACAACCTCTCATTTCCCATTCAGACTCCAGTGTGGACAAGAGTCATCGAGAAAGTACCTCCGACACCCACAAATTCGAGAACCCGGAGAGCTGGCCCGGGTCACCGGGTGAGAGTGCTGCCCGTGACACGACCCCAGGCATGTCCACGTCTGACTGCATCCCCGCTCCTCAGTCTGAGGCAGCAGGGTGGCATCGCTCGCTCAGAGACCTCGAGTTTTCCACCGTGGAAACACCCCCGTGTTCTGCTGAAGCTCCCCCGGACCCTGGTAAGACGGCCCGTGGTGAGAGAGATGCAGACATTGGTGCTTATGAACCTTGCACTCCGGGATCAGACACGGATGAAAACAATAGTCCCCCACAATACGATTCTGAAGGGGGCAGCACGCATGCCAGCCCGATGGGCACAGGCGCCCACAGGGGCCGTGACTCCAGGGAGGCGATGAGCCCAACACAACTGTTACAGTTCCCTGGCGGCAAACCAGCTCTTCAGGGTGCCAGAGGCGGAGGGGAACACGCTGAAGAGGGTTCGCAGGGCCGGGAGCCGTGATCACAAGCGCTTCCAAATAAAACCGGTTTGTGAAGGACACAGGAGCCCTTCAGGGGTGCGGACTGGGGGACACGATCAGAGGAGAATCCGTTGCGACGAGGAAAAGATGATTCTGACTTCCGTACTCCGATGCGGACCCACAGCAGCCTGATGGGAGCGGGCTGTCCAGGTGAGGCCCGGCTCTCCGATAACAAAGATGCGGATGATCACCTTGAAAGTCCAAGGCAATGCCAGGAGCATTCTTAGGACAGACTGGAGCGCTCAGGTGGGACGGCTGACCGGACTTTAACGAATTCTGCACAAAGAACAGCACAGCTTTCAGGAGGGATTCGGAGAATTTCCAAACATTTTTAATAAGCTGTGTTAACAGTTGGGTCGTTTAGCCATGGCGGGTATGGCTCGGTTGGCTGGTGGCTGTCTTGTGCAAAGGAAGGTCGCCTGGACTCCAGACTGGGTTAGCTTTCCCCGTTGCAAACCCTCTCGGCACACAAGCACTCTCCTTCACAGAGGAGAGCTTTCACGGGTAAAATCAATAAATAACCACGTGTGTGAGTTTTTGTTAAATTCTGTCCCCTTTTTATACGCTAAGCACCGTGAGGACAAAACAAAAAGGGCCTTGTCACCCCAGAGCCCTCACCACATAGCTCGTCGTTTTTGTCTGTGGGCTGTCTTCCCCGGAGCCCTTGTCTGTCAAGTCCCATGCGTGCGTGCCCTCAACCGAGCGGGCCTCCTACCCGGGGCGGTGACCGGGTGGCCTCTGACCAGGCTCTTCATAGGACTTAATATTGACTCCAGATCAACTCCTACATCAGTTTCACAGCTTGTGGAAAAGGTCTGAGAGAGTGAGGTCCCCGCAGAGATCGCTGCTGTAAAGTGGGCCTTTGCCAGAGAAGGGGGAGGGACACAGAAAGGAAAGGACCAACCAGGGAGACAGTGCAAGGTTAGGACCCACCGTGCTGATTGGCGAGCCCAGGGCCAGTCACAGAGGGAGTGCTTGCCAAGTACACGAAGGAAGGAACGAAGGGAGGGAGAGGGAGAGGAGGGAGAGAACTGTGGTACCGTGAGGTGCACTGGGGTATTTATATCCAGCTAGTCCTCCCTCCACCAGCACCTCTTTCCCAGCCATCGATTTGCTAAAGGGACAGGGTACTTGTCCTGCAGAGCGGCCTGCATCCTGGGCCTGGCAACTTGCTTTTTCCCAGTGTCATCTGTATTCCATTTAGTATTTGGAAGTTGTGCTGTTCTGTGTCCAGGAACTGTGTCTCCCTACTATGTGCCTGGGGATATCCATCCTCCTTCAGGCCCAGGCTCAGAAGCTGCCACCACCTCCTCTCTCTATGCTCTCTCTTCACCTTGGACTTCTATTCAATATTTGGCCTTTACTTCATTCTGGTTTGAACCACATCATTGTCTGTGTCTTGGCAGAGGTCCCGGATAGTTTCCTTTGGGAGGCTGCTCTTCGCCTTAAACACCAAGACTTCAAGCTTGCTTTCTTTAGGCATCAGATGTCCTCAAACGTCTTAAGACAAAGAGCTGGCTGGTGAAACCTGGTTATTAGCTAGAAGCTTAAATTTAGGCCCCCAAATTATGTATGAAATGTACACCTGGGGCTGACTTTTTGCCATAGCTTTTGAATAGGATGGTGGGGGAGGAGGGGTGGGGACTGGCCATTGTACCAGGGCAGCCCCAGCCCTTGAAGCTGGTTTATATATTATTGATTTTTTACAGAGAGGAAGGGAGAGGGATAGAGAGTTAGAAACATCGATGAGAGAGAAACATTGATCAGATGCCTCCTGCACACCCGCTACTGGGGACGTGCTCGAAACCTAGGTACATGCCTTGACTGGAATCAAACCTGGGAACCTTCAGTTCCCAGGCCAACACTCTATCCACTGAGCCAAACCAGTTTTGGTGAAGCTGGTCAGGACTACACCACTGACCCTGTGCCCGAAGCCAGTTCCAGCATGTCATAATTGCAAGAGTTTCATAGAAAGGTTGATGGAAATTGGAGACTCAGTAAGGGCTGAGTCACATATGTTATCGCCTGCTGGAATGGCTAAAGGCATTTCCCCAAACCTGAAAAGGATGCATTAAATTGATTGTTTGCTGCCAGACAGCTCAGGGCATCTTAATCTACATGTTATTGCCTATTGGCCAAACACCTGAACAGCTGTAGGCTATTCCCCAGTCAGACAATGGATTCTGTAGAAACCCTACCCTTTGAAGTGTATATATCTCCACCTTGCTTTAGGACAATTTGTGTTAATAAAAAACAAGGGGTCCTGAGACAAGGAGAACTTGGTTTCTTTAGCCAGGCTCCTCTGCTTCCCCCAATATGCCTTTCAAAATTATCGTCTGTCTCTGAACTCTTATTTAATCTATGCACAGCCCTTTCTTCAGATTGCTGAACCCTTCTAGATGCCAGATCAAGACCACTGGCATTAAATGTCACCCAGCGTCTGGCAACCCTATATACAAGGAGGGCCTTTTGGCTTTCTCCACAGGGGAGCCCAGGCAAGGGGGCGAGCACTGGGTACCATAGGAGACTTCTGGCTGTCAGAACAACTCCTCCCTCTCCCTTCGGACACACCGTGTGTGCCACCCAGAGGAGCTGGAGAGGCATCAGAGCTCATATTGCTCATACCTCGGGGAGCAGCATAAAGATCTGCACTTCACAGAAAAAAAAAACAACAAAAAACCTGCTTCTCATTTTATCCTCAGAACCAGAAAGGCTGTCCTTAGACTAATGCAATCTGTAAAGCTCATTTAGAGCCAGAGTCATGTTTTGACATACCTCCCACCCCTATATTCATGTTCCAAATATTGAACAGAACTTACTTAAGGAAAAGCCACATTTCAAATAATCCTGATGTGGAGAATTATTTTATCAAAATAAAATAAAATAAACAGACTTGACTCAGCTTTAATTTAAAAAGTAGCTGCAAGTAGCTAACAAACAAGGAGAACTGGCAGAGCCAATTCTGTAAGCTTTCTAACCATTCTGTACAGGTGTAGCTGCACGGAGGGGCCCACTCCTGCAAGTGTTACCTAGAATCTGCTGTAGAAATTAAAATGTTTTTTAATCCTTGCCTGAGGCTATGTATTTACAGATTTTAGAGAGAGGGAGGGAGAGAAATATCAATTGGCTGCCTCCTGTAGTCAGCCCTAACCAGGGATTGAACCTGCAGTCTTTTGGTATATGGGACAATGCTCCAATCAACTGAGCCACCCAAATTAAATGTAAAGTTCTAAAATGAACAAAACTGAAAATCATCCCTCAGTGGCATTCGTACAAAAATCAAGTCTTTCTCTATACCTAATGTCCTTAATAACTAGTATAAATATTGCAGTCATTTCTTATATCTCAGTGACTTAATAGCTCATTTCCCATTCAAATGCCTTGCTTTGGCCACTTACATAGCAGTTACCGAGACTTAGATAACTCCGAGAGTTACATATACTTTCTTTTACTATTTTTAGTCACTAATTAACATTATTGCTTCGTTTGCTTTTTGGCACTCCCTCTATGTAAACATATATACATTTGTGTATGTATGTGTAGCTACATTGGTGTGCAAAAGTGGTAGATTTACAGTTACAAGTACAAAAAACACAGTTTATTCTTGTATTATATTTATTACGTTCCATTCGAATAGCTGTAAAACTACTTTTGCCCACCCCTGTATGTGTATATACAATATATATATGTATAAGTGTAAACAATGTTTTATCTGATGTATAATAATTTTATATGTAAAAAATCAAGTAACTATACAAGGTGTCCATAACATCCAGAACCATAGGTGAATATACGTAATGTTGTTACCAATATCTTCAACCCGAGAAATAATGGGTCTTTAAAGAAAAAGTGTGACCTGTTTTCAGACCTTATGCGCACCTTGTGGATATCACTATAGATATGTTTTCCTTCAGCATCAGTTTACTAATGTTTATAGCATTTCCTGAATGCCATCCACACACCCATCAGTAAGAAGAACGCCCATCAGAGGCGGGATGCTGATAAACGATCCTGACAAATACGCAGAGCATAACAAATCTGTCTCCTTCCCTCCCCGCAACCTGACATTCTGCTCTCTCTCATGGATGATACAGATAGCGGGAATGACTTCGAGGAGGCATGTTGCAGTCGGGAGCCGTTTCCAGAGCAATGAGATCTGAGCTGGAAGGCCCACCATCTAGTCCAGCCTTGACCTGTAAACGGGCAGCTGAAGCACAGATTAATGCACTGGTGGGCCCGGGTCACCCAGCTCCTGGTTCCTGACCAGCATGCACTGCCAGGAGGCTGGGACATCTATGACACAGCCAGCTCAGCGAGGAAGAGCCTGCTGTTGGCCTTCCTCTGTCTGGCTGGCTGGCTGGTCTGATGAGGAGGCCCTGCCACCCGGGAGATTTAGCAAACATTCTTTCCAGGATGTCACAGCAGCTTCAGGCACTCCTTCCTAAGAGAACGGGCCGCCTGCAGCCAACGCCTTGCCGCCCTGCGCAGAGCCGTGGTCCTCGCTGCTCCGGACGGGGCGGCACTGCTGGCTGCCTGGAGCCCCGCGCTTCCCACCGTCCCAGCCTGAACTTCCCCTTCCTGCCATCTGTGATGGGCTCCGGGCGCCAGCTTTGAGGGGCAGGGTTTCCACGCTCTCACTTTCCCTCGCTCCCTCTGGCCAAGGGGCGCCCTGCCATCTCCCTCTCTCAACCCCCCCACCCCCCAAAGCCTGCCCGCCCCCCAGGTCACCTCGGTGCCTGCTGCCAGGCCGCTGGGCCATCTATGACAACCAGCGACCTCAATTCCTTCTCCTACCTCATTTATTACTTTTTTATTTATTATTTTATTATTATCATTATTATTATTATTATTATTTTCCACATTTCAGCAGCTGGGGTGTCTTTCATTCTGGACCTGTTCTGCTGTGGACAGCCCTGGCCCAGCGGGCAAGGCCCCAGTTCACTCTAAGACCAGCCTGCTCCCAGCACCATACAGAAGGGGAATTTGGGGTGAGGGGGTGGGGTGGACAACGGGCACAGCCCAAGACCTTAAAGAAAAGAGAATGTTCCACTCAGCGTCTCCCCGTTTACAGAGGGAGAGTGTGTTCAGTCAGGGCTGCCAGATTCAGCCAATAAAACCACAGGGCGCCCAGCTGAGTGTGCCTTGCAGGTAAACAACAAATACTTTCTTTCTTTCGTTTTGATACTTTCTTAATATTTAAGTATGCCCCAGGCAATATTGGGCGTTTATTTATAGTAAAATGCTACTCGTTGTTTATCTGAAATTCAGATTCAACTGGGTGACCCGTGTGGCACCTGGCAGCCCCATGGTAGCGTTCAAACACTAAGATGACCTGGAAAGTCTTCACGCCAGGGACTGAGAGGGCCCGTTGGAGCAAACATGGCTGAGCTCCAATTGCTGCGGCAGAGGAGTGGGGAGCTGCCTGGCATGGTCTGCGTTCGGCACCCAGCACGTGCCACCCTGCCTGCAAACGCGCCTCCCGCGGAGCCTGGGCAATGATTTACAAAGCAGCAAACGTGGAAATTCACTCACACCCAAATCCAGGGGCAAGAACACCCAGAACAGCAAGTCCTGCCTGCAGTTGCCAAGGTAGAAGCAAAATAAACGGTGACAAACCAAATAGCTGCGAGAGTGGTTTTGCAGGGAAGCAGAGTTCCTCAGAGTTACTCGTAGGGAGAGAGGGTGGCCTAAAGCCCCGCTGTTACAAGGAGAGGGTCCTGAGAGCCTTCTGCTCTGTAAGCGACCACCCCACTCACAGGCACACCCCACCCAGGCCCCACCTCCCGGCTCCAGCATGCACCAGCTTTTCGCTGGCTGACTCCGCAGCCTGGAGTGAGTTATTCCAGTTAGCTCGGTAGCACATGTAAGATCCTGTAAGTACTCCTGGCTGGAGGCCCTGGGCACTGAAAGGTTGCTGGTTCAAGTCCTGGTCAGGGCACATGCCTGGGTTT